GTCTCACCAAGTTGCCCAGGCAGGTCTCAAACCCGCAGGCTCAGGCAATCCACTCACCTCGGCCTCCCAAAGCGCTGGGATTACAGGCTGAGCCGCTGAGCCACCAAGCCCGGCTTAATTTTTCTTAATGCCAATAACAAACTATAAAATAATGTGGTCAGTTTTGCTAAAGAGGGCCAGAACTGCCTTTGTGTGTGGGCTGGCCAGGCCAGGCGACTTTGGGACCACCCCTGTCTGCTGGGCTGCGCCTGGCTGGAATGCCTCTCCTGGGACTGCCTGCAGAGCTTGCAACACTCTCTGAACATCCTCAGTGGATGTGAACTTTGATCCTTAAATCACCAGATTTGACAAAGTAGAGGAAATGTGATCCGGGCCCAGGCCGGGAGGGAAATACTACGGTAGCAGTGCCTCTTGTGGACCTGTAGAGGCACCGAGGCCTGGACTAAGATCCTATCGTCCCAACTGTGGCAGGTGAAAGTGCAGTACAGCCAGTCTACATCAGCCATCAGGAAATGGTCAGACCAACTGCTGCCCACACGGATTCTTTTATTGTTTGTTTTGAGTAGGACTCTCATTCTGTTGCCCAGGCTGGAGTGCAGTGGCATGTTCATGGCCACTGCAGCCTTGGCCCGCTGGGCTCAAATGATCCTTCTGTCTCAGCCTTCCAAGTAGTAGAACTACAAGTGTGCACCACCACACCAGGCTAATTTTTTGATTTATTGCAGAGGCAAGGTCTCACTAAGTTGCCCAGGCTGGTCTCCAACCCCTGGACTTGCAACTCTCTCGACTCTGCCTCCCAAAGTGCTGGGATTACAGGTGTGAGCCACCTCGCCCAGCTGTCTTGTTTTTTCTGATACCTTTTCTACCTGATCTGGCTGAGGGGTCTGGTGCAGAGGAATGGGTTCCCATTTCTTTTGAAAATCCAGGTTGAGTACTTGGATGGCTGAGGCAGAAAAATCGCCTGAGTCCAGCAGGTGTTGAGGCTGCGGTGGCTATGAGCGTGCCACTGCGCTCCAGCCTGGGTGAAGGAGTGAGACTCCGATGCAAAAAAAAAAAAAAAAATTAAAAAGTCACTCGTCTGGTCCCAGGTACTTCAGGAGCCACGGGTTACAGTGTAGACACGGCCAAGACCAAGAGCCAAACCACACATAACCAGTCCTGAAAATGGTACAGAAATGGTATCAAGAAACCCAAGTCACTAAGATACAAGTCTCTTAAGGGGGTGGACCCCAAGTTCCTGAGGAACATGTACCTTGCCAGGAAGCACAAGAAAGGCCTGAAGAAGATGCAAGCCGACAATGCCACGGCCATGAATGCATGTAAAGCCCAAGGAGGTTAAGTCCAGGATCCCAAAGGGTTCTGGCCACAAGCTTACTCGACTTGCATACATTGCCCACCCCAAGCCTGGGAAGCATATTCATGCCCATATTGCCAAGGGCTGCAAGGCTCTGTTGGCCAAAGGCCAAGGATCAAACTAAGGCCCTGGCCACAGATTCACCTGCAGCTCCAGCTTCCAGTTCCAGCGCCTGCTCAGGCTCCCAAAGGTGCCCAGACTCCCACAAAATTCCAGAGTAGAGGCCCCTGTCTGCCAATGTGAGAACAGAAGGACTGGTTTGACCCCCAGGGTGCTGTCTGTGTGGGGCTGGTGTCCTCCTGTGCTATTTGTATAAATAAACCTGAGGCAGGAGGAAAAAAGAAAAAAAGGTTGGGCCAGGCATGGTGGCTCAAGCCTGTAATCCCAGTACTTTGGGAGGCCAAGGCGAGAGGACTGCCTGAGCCCATGGGTTCGAGACCAGCCTGGGCACCATGGTGAGACCTCATCTCTACAATAAATTTTTTAAAAAATTAGCCTGGTGTGGTAGCATGTGCCTGTAGTTCCAGCTACTTGGAAGGTTGAGGCAGAAGGACCACGGAAGCCTAGCAGGTTGATGCTGGGGTGGCCAAGAGCATGCCAGTGCACTCTAGCCTGGACAACAGAGTGAGACTCCAACTCAAACAAATAATTAATTAGAAAGTTGGCACGGTGGCTCATGCCTGTAATCCCAGCACTTGGGGAGGCCGAGGCAAGAGGATTGCCTGAGCCCATGGGTTCGAGACCAGCCTGAGCAACTTGGTGAGACCGCACTTACACAATAAATCAAAAAAGTCAGCTGGGCATGTTAGTGTGTACCTGTTATTCCAGCTACTTGGAAAACTGAGGCGGAAGGATTGCCTGAGCCCACAGTAGGTCGAGGCTGCAGTGGCTGTGAGTGTGCCACTGCACTCCGGTTTGGGCAACAGAGTGAGACT